GCCTGTATATGAGATGGTATCATCTTGAAAACTCGTACACAGACCCCTGCATTGTCTGTAGGCTGTTTCGGTTTCCTCACGCATTAGTGTAGAATGTGTGTTTGTACATTTAGATGTGTATCACAGTGGGCTCATAACGGCTCTGGGAACGATCCCTCCTGTATCTTGTGTTGAGTTGGATGTAATGAATGGTGAGATATTATAGAGCGCAACGGAGTGGAATATGCGGTGTTTAAAATAACGGCACGCATCAGTATAATGTTGGCTGTAATGTGTTTGTGTTGGGCGAGAGGTCGGGGCAGGTGTGTAGGGGGAGAAATCGGGGTCATAGGGGCGATTTGCTCCTCTCTTCATTGTGGGCGTCAGGTCTTGGGGCATTTGGGAGCAGCGGATCCATTTTATTGATTGACTCCTGTGGCCTCGGCCCACAGATGAAGGGTGAACTTATCTAATGAATTCCCACTTCCAGTCTCCCCACTCCCCCAACTTAATTAACTCTGCCTGTGTGTGTCTGTGCACATCAGTGTGTGTGTGTGTGTGCGTGTGTGACCTGTCCACTCTGCTCATTTCTTTCTCCTGCTTGTCCTTTTTTTCACTTTTCTGCTCACTTGTCAACAATATTTCTTTCCCATCTACATCTAGACTATTATTATTGCAATTTAAACTATGCATATCTTGCGATTCCTAATAAAGTTACCAGCCAAACTTAATTTTATAACTTGCTAAAACAATTTTTTATGCGTATAGCGTTCAGTGTTATTTTTTAAACCCGACTGCAAGTTAAGACGGGCATTGTTTGAGAAAACTGTTTGGGAACTATCCTTAATTTTGCAGTTTCATTTGACTATTCGAACCCTCATTTCCCACCTGTGCACCAAGGCTTGGTGTGTCCAGACCATTTATGTTAAACGCTAAGCCACAGTTCCAACAATATGCATCTGATTTATTGTGTGTGTGTTTTTTTTTAAAGTATAGTCACATTTACACACTCAAACTCTTGCACACACAGACACACACACACACACGCACTCAAACTCTTGCACACACACACACTCAAACTCTTGCACACACATACACACACTCAAACTCTTGCACACACACACACACACTCAAACTCTTGCACACACATACACACACTCAAACTCTTGCACACACACACAGACCCACACTATCTTCGGCTAAACTTCTGTTTCTAAAGCTCTGGGTCTGTGAGGGTCAGTTGTATGATGGGTGCAGCCATTACCACACTTCTCCTCTCACAGACTTACACACACACCTCTCTGAATTGCATTTAATCCGCTGGTTTTAGTGGAATGTGCCCCTGTGGCAATTGTGCTACACACACGCAGACAGATATTCATGAACACACATTCAACATTTCTTAAAGAAGGAGTTACAGCTACACAAAATCCATGAATGAAAAACATTTACATAAATTATGCATCACACAAATTCTCATTTAGAAATGATGAATTCATTTTGAAATTGTTTTTAGTGGTGGACATCTCCCTCTCTCTCTTTTTCTCTCTCACCTCCCCATTTCTACTTCCTCTCTCATTTCTACATCTTCCACATCCTCCCTCTTATTCTGTTTCACAATTAAACCAAACAGTGAGAATAAGACATGTTCTCTCTCCATGGACTTGCAGCATAGTGGTATTCTGAAATGACTGCCACATTGCCAGGTCTAATCTGATTGGCTGGCTGCTATGTAACTTCTGTAACTTCTGCACCAGTCCCCTGGGAGACAAAGTCATGTTTGCAAGTAACAAAGTTTGCCAGATAAATATTCAGGTTTTTTTTTATTTTTATAGTGGCAAATTAAATAGATATTCCATAAAGTCGGCCGTGTACTGTTGTGCAATTATTTCAAGACTCTTTTCCCTTCCAATCTGTTTTTCTTTTTTTTCTGTGAACTTGGAATGGTAACAATGATATGTTAGATAAACTTGCCCCTAAATAGCATTTAAAACAAAGCAAATTATGGTTGGTTGCCTTACATGTTTGTCAGACTAGACCAGTTCCTGTCTAAATGGGTGGTTCTTGACTTTATGGGTCAAAGACATGATGCTCATTTAAAAATATTTACACATATAGTAACTTAAATATACCTATTTTGAAATTGCATTTCATTTAAATTTTTAATGTAAAAATTATTTATAGTTGAAAATGTCAGGGTGATTTAATTGATATTATAATGGGGAAAACTCATTAAAGGAATCAGATTCTTGAAAAGAAAACCTTAAGTAATTTGCGATTTATTATTATTTCTTAAAATATATTAAGAAACTGCTTCACTGCTTATCAAAAAAAAAAAGATACAGGGAGGTCTCCTGGCGACATTTTTATAACACGACAAGGTAAGTTTAGGATGTAAATGTCATAATGGTTCAAACGCCATCACAAACTTTATATATTTATAAATTCATACATTTTTTTTTCAGTTGAATACAAACCATTGTTGAAATTAGTGTAACATCACAAATACAGTACATTTCTAAGAACTCAGCACAGTTTTATTTCAAATATTTTTTTTTCATTTTCCCCTTTTATTCTTTCTTTTTATCTTGAACACTCTTTTGAACACTCTGTTAAACACATTTAATTTATCATTAACCTTCATGCTAACAGAGGTCTAGCTTGACAAGACTGCTAAGGTAAATATTGGAAAATACAGTATCTGCTTAAACAGCACTTATTTTCCAACAATACAGTATTAAAACCAGCTTTGCTTGTTAATGGAAATGTTACAGTAACCAGAGTAGGTTTGAATGATGGAGACTTGGTTCTTCATGCGTGACCTTATTGTGAACTCCAGGCTGTGGACACCAGAAGAGAAGATAAGATCTTTATGGGGTCGGTGCTTCATGAGCGTCTCTCACACACACACACACACACACACACACACACACACACACACACACACACACACACACACACACACGCACACACACACACACACAGACAGACAGTCTCTCTCTGGAAATGAGCCGAATCCTCCTCTAAAACTCAAAGTTGATGAAGTTGCCATGCTTGTCATTGGGAGGCCCTCAGATGAAGTTACAGCGTGTGTGTGTGTGTTGAGGGGGGGGCTTATAACACTCATTATGTTTCACCCCCTCACACTGTCTCCACTTCTCTGTCTGTTCATCCAGACCCCAGAGAATACTGTGTAAACACAATACACGCTACAGAGCCTAGCTGTGTATGTGTGTGTGTGTGTGTGTGTGTGTGTGTGCATCAGAGAGTGTAAATGTGTATTTTGTCTTAATGTAAGGTGTAATTAAGTGGTGTAAAGTATGGCAGGTTGTGGGCGGGTCTTGTGGTGCCATGACTGAAGCAGTTTGCTGGCTGGGCTGTCGTTCATGCTGCTTTGAGGCTTCCAGTGATCTGAGCTTCACTGACAGCTGTTTTGAAAAGCTCTTCTCCTTTAGGCTGTCAGTTTAGTCTAAACAAGCGTCTCTGGCTCTCTCCTGGTAAAAATGTTTTGTTTTGTTTTGTGTCTTGCCACTTTTTTACTGTTGTTCTTATAGTTTGGACTTCTTACATCCAAGCAGTTGTCCTTGTCTTTGACAGAACAAGTGTGTACTTGTGTTTGTGTGTTGGCAGCCTCCTCTATGTTGCCTGATTTGACAGAAGTAATGAATAAGATTCACTTTGCTTTTTTTCCCCCTACATTTAAAAAGTTTGAAAAGCAAGGATCAAATATTTTTCTTTGTTTGATGGTTTATTTATCAGTTGTGTTTTTTATGGAGACCGGAATTCAATTTAGTTCCGTTTTGCAAACTCAGTGTGATTTGATTCCTATTTTGATTCAATATGATTCTGATTCATTTGGGGGTATTTCAAGTTTAAAGTCACAATGTATTAGGAGAGGGACAGGTAGTTTCTTCCATGTAGTGATAAATCTATCAATCAGATTATCGAAATGAAAAAAGTGGGCTGAACTAAGTTCTATGCATCGGTTCTTAAATGTAAGGCTGCAGCCAATTGTAAGAAAGATGCTGGTTTTATGTGGATGAAATGATTGGAGAAGTCTGGCATATAACACCAGAAAGAAGTCTGAGTCTTTCAACAGAAGATTGAGTTATGATGTTTTAAGAAAAAAAAAGGATAATTCGTTCACAAAAAGATAAATAATATGCATTTAGAAAATAAATGAATTTATATGTCATGCTGAATTTAATGTCCATTTTTGCTTGCATAAAGAACATGCAGTATTTATTTTCCTGGAAATGTAAATTATACAGGGCAGTGATTCAGACTTACTCAAAAATGCTATTTCATCTCTTTGAACTATTCAAAGATTCATTTAGTCAAGTCACAAGATCAGTCTTGTGAGTTTACAAAGAATTACAGGATTGTTCGAATAAAGGTCCCAATTATTTGGAAAATATTGATATTTTTATACAAGCCTATATCGTGCTTAATGTTTTAGTTACAAAAGAATTTACACATTTGTAGCCACAAAACATGCAAAAAAATGCATGGATGAATCGTCCAGAAAAAGATAAATAACATGCATTTAGAAAATAAATTAATTTTCATTTCATGCTGACTTTAATGTCCAGTTTTGCTTGTATAAAGAACATGCAGTATATATTTTTTTCTGCTAATATTGTAAATTATACAGGGCAGTGTTTCAGATTGATTCAAAAATGGTAATTCATCTCTTTGAACTATTCATTCAAATAACCTGGTCATAAGATTCATTTGATCACAAGATCAATCTTGCGATTTTACAAAGAAATACAGGATTGTTCAAAAAAAGGACCCAATTAATTGGAAAGTATTGTTATTTTTACACAGCCCTCAAGCGTAACGTTTTAGCCATAAAAGAAGAATGTATACATTTTTAGACATAAAACCCACATGCAGAGGCTCTGGTCTGGGCCTGAACCTGTTCTCGCGAGTTAGTGGACAAATTCCCATCTTCTAATGTGGGTGTGTGTGTATTTGTGTCTTTGAGAATTCATTAACATTCCTCTCTTTCCTCTCAGGTGAAGAAGTGACAGAACCCAACATTTCCGACAGCCGCGGCGAGCGCATGGACCTCCTGGTAAAGCAGGAGGAGGCCGCGGCGGGGGACGGTGGGTTTCTGTCCGGGGACCGGGATGAGGCCGTGGCCCAGGAGAGAGCGGGTTCGGTGGCTAACCTGCGAGCCGCCCTCATGAGCAAGAACAGCTTGTTGTCTCTGGGGGCAGAGATGCTCGGAGAGGAGCACCCGCTTCTGTTCGACTACCTGCCCAAGGGAGGACACTCTCTCTCCCGTAAGTCACACTGTGTCCCCTGCTCTCGCTCATGGAGTTTCCACAGAGTCCAATAGAGAGTCTTAGGTTCTTATAGAATCCCACTGGGATGTAGATGTGCTCCTGCTTGAACGATATATGCTGTGTGTTACATGCTATCATTGGGTGCAACTGATTCTCCTACAGGTTTTGGCAGGTCTTTATAAACCATAGGGTTCTGTAGGGACTTATAGGTACTTATTTGCATGTGCTATTGAGTTTTTGTAGGTCTCCTCCATAAACTGATGTTTCGAGAGGATCTATAGGAACTTGTATGTAGTTCTGCTAGAATGGTAAAGACTGTGCTGTCACTTTAACATGTTATGTGTCCACAAACCTTGGAGTTTCCTGTACAGGGACTCTTAAGCTTTGGGACTCATTTGTGCTCTTTTGCTACCACTGAATGCTTAAAACCTCTCCTATAGGTTTCTGTTTGTCTTTGTAAACCTCTGTGCCCCTGTAGATTGCCGATATACGTCTTTATGAGTAACATAGCCTCCTGCTGACTTGTGTCGTCTATAGGCTCTGATGGAATCCTGTGTCTTAGAGACTACGTTGATGTGGATGACTGTGTTTGAGTAATGAACGCATTTTCTGCATTAGGATTTCAGGTTAAAATTTATATATTTGTATAAGAGAAAAAAATTATGTTTTGTGGTGTAATTTAAATTGGTTGGCATTTCTTTAACGTTTTTCATCACTTTTAATCAAAGGTTATGATTTTTCTAGTTCATTTCAGTGATTTCAAGCAGCTTTAGATGTATTTTAGACTGTTTAAAATGAACAGCCATTTTATAGCTTTAAAGCTTTCATGTCTTTTGACCTTCATGTTCCATTCAGTAAGTGTGCCCTAAAATTGTCTGTCTGAAAATCAGGTTTGCAGATATTTTAAAATGTATTAATGATGGAAAGAAAAACTTTAGATATAAGAAAAAGGAAACTTTGGGGGCATCATATGTTTTTGTATTTTGTCTTTATTTTAAAGGGGACCTATTCAGGGCTCTACGCTTATTTTTCTTTTTAGGAGCACTTGTGCTCCTACCTTAAAAAATTTAGGAGCACAGTCAAAAATTTAGGCGCACCTTCTAATCAATAATCCAAAATTTGATCAAAAATGTGCCTTCCCATTACGAGGTGATATTTGACTCCTTAAAGTGATTTACAGTGGAATTTTGTTTTTACCTTTGTAATGGCATTTTTCTAACTTCATTAAAAGTATGTAATCTTTTATGTCAAATTTTTTTTTTTAATTATATTTTATAAGCATTTTAAAAATTCTTATTAAAACCACAGAATAAGAACAAGTGGAATAAGAAGAATAAGTTACTAATCAAATGAAATCAGTATTAAAATTAATTTGTTCAGAGGTAGCACATACTGACTCACTAGATTCGTTATGATAGATTCGAAATGCAGTTCATTCATAAACGAGACACCGCTGTGTTTGTTTGAATGGAGATGCGCAGCGGCTGAGCTGTGACTTTGTTTCAAACTATTTTCGACGACGAAATAGAGCAAAATCAGACAATAGTGTTATAGTCAGACAATGTAACTTCTTGTATTTTTTCATAGTCGCACGCAGTAGTTTTCAGTGGCAAATGCGACTGAAATGGTCGCACTGTAGAGCCCTGCTATTATGCAAAATTCCATTTTACATGGTGTTTGAACATAAATGTGTGTTGGCAGTGTGTGTACCTCACTAAAGTTTATAAATAGCATTACTTTTAAATTCTTACCAGTGTTTAACCAGTCACACTCGCAACGCACACACATAACGCCAGGTTCACATTACTCCGTTTGCAGTGCATAATCCACCCACTTCTTTTTTTTTAATCCCCATAAATCATAAGCAGTGTCTCAGAACAAGCCGTTTGCAGAATCTGTACAAAGTGACGTCACATTTTATAGGCCCCGCCCCCCACAACTGTTGACAGACACTGACGTATTATCATAGATCCCATCCCAGATGTTTATCTTCACATTAGAGCATTTCAAAGCAGCATTTAATTAGGGGTGGGAATCTTTATTCACCTTACGATCCGATCCGATTCCGATTCTGGGAGTCACGATCCGATTCCAGAACGATTCTTGATTTACTTTTTCCTCCTTATTAATTAATTAGATTACCGACTTGCCAATCTTAAAATCCTTACATTTACATATCCTTACATAAGTAATTAAGTACTTTTTAAAATAATTACAAATTGAAAAAATAATTAAAACAGTTGCATGTTAAGAATTTTAAACTAATATAACTTCAAAACATACAAGCAAGTAGCAAATAATAAAGAGGAGCATAGAAACATATTACAAACAAAGAGTGCTTTCAGTATTTAAGATTATCTGAGTGTTTTCCATTCAAGAACTGTGAGTGATTTTTCTTCATCTTTACTGTTGTTTTTTACTATGACATCAT